AAAGAGCAGCATGGCAAGAAATAAAAATGGCCATGTTGGGTAGCAGTAGCTGGGTGACTGACATCTGAGAACAACCATAGGGAGGAACTGGCATACTGAAAATGTGAAGGAAATGCAGAATGGGGAGGACTACACCAGCCGTGGAGGCTGGTTTCCATTTCCCAAGCCCGGTTTCATTTGATGTTATGAAGAAGGGGGAACCAATGGAAGGCTGATGTGGGCAAAGCAAACAGGCAGGTGTTTTCCAAGGCAGAGCACTGGCTGGTATCAAGGTACACATAAGGAAGGCCAAGTGAAAGAAGGGATGCAGTAATTGGGATGAGAGGGATTCTAGGGATGTGAATGAATAGGAAAAGTTGTATCTTAGAGGAGTTATATGTAATGAGTCTGCCTGACTTGGATGTGATTGGCCCAGGGAAGTTAGGGAGAAAAGTCTGCATTTGATGCTCCCCAGGTTGTAGTTTTGCCATAAACAAATGTAATATCCTCACTGATGAAGAAATCATATGGAGAGAGAATGTCAGTAGAAGAAAAGCAGCTTTATTTTTAGCTTAAGGTGTCAACTAATGTATCTAGCAGTTTCTTTCTTCTGTTTTAGCAGCATTTTTTTGAAACTTTGAAGAATACCTACAGAAGAAATAGAAGTTTGTCATTCCTCAGCACAGAGATGTTAGCTAGATCTGTATATTACCATGAATTGAAATCATTTGGAATAGGAGACAGTGTGAGAACAGAAAGGGCCCAGGAAAGTCCAAGGGAATCCCAAGGTCTGCTTGTGCACAGGATGGGCAAGATATCCTCTTTTTGTTTGTTTGTTTTTAGTAGACTTTAGAGAAGTAGGAGGAGAAAAAGGGGAGGATAGAATCAGAGTAAAAATCCAGTCTCAAGAAGACAGTGGTCATTGGTGCCACAGCTGCTGAGGAAGAGCTAGACTTAGGAACGGGCTGAGAAGTGGGCATTAAAAAGGGGTGGGATATTGGCTGCAGAGGGTTTGGGGTGTGCTTGAGAGGGAGGCTCTCCCAACATCGATGGTAGTAGGAACAGTAAAGTAATGCAGTTTAGGTAAGAAGGGAGGATCTAGAGAGTGGTGCAGAATGAGCAATTGAGTATTTGGCGGTGAAATCTATAGAAAAAAAAATGGTTGTATTTTCAGTAGCTGTTCAAGATCCAAAAAGTATGACTACCATTCTTTGTACCCTTGCTTTCATAGCTGCCTAATCTAAAAACTTGGCTTCTGTTTTGTGGTTGTTTAGGGTCTGCTTTATGTTAGATATTTTGCACAATGTAGCCTTCAAAATCTTCCTCCTCCCTCTTCCCCCTCCCTCTTTTTTTTTTTTCTTTCAAACGGCATCTATTTTGCGTGAGAATTGTACCCTGGGGTGCTTCAATTATGTATGAATGCAGAGTATTTGGGATGCGCTATTTACAAGTGCTTTCTTTTTTGCCATCTGAGCTTTAAACATGAACAGAATCACCAATATTTTAGTTCCTAGGGCACTCTTAAATGTGCAGTCAAGATACAGCTTTTGTTCCTAACTGCTTGTTTTTTACCCCAATTCACAAAAAGACTTTATGAACCCTCCACATGAATTTTCCATTGATAGTATATGCTAGCAGAGAGCAAGAAAACCCTCTTGGCTTGTTGCAGGAATGTCTACTCTGAGACCTTAAGCAGCAGTGAGTTCCATCTTTCTTTCCCTGGTAGCTCTCTCTAGCAGTCTGTCCCTGTAGGCAAACACGCTTGTTTTGAGTTTCTGAATGACAGATTAAATTGTCTTTCATCTGTCAGCATATGGAATCTCCTGTTTAAATTGTGGTGTCTTTTCTCATTGCTGCTATGTAGGTAAACTGGCCTTTCCAGAAAGGTTTGCACTGTTTGTTTTCCTTCAGTTTTATAGAGAGCTCAGTACAGTCTTTACAAATAGGTTGTTGCTCTGCCATCAGGTATATAGTTTGATATCTACTTCCACCTTCATGATGGAAGGAGGCAGAAGCAGTTGCAGTGGAAGGGAAGGCAAAGGTGAGCCAGAGACTTTCCTGTTGTCAGGCTTTGTGGGGAAGAGACCGATCGGATGTTTCATGGAAAGTGAAGGCAGAAGATAGGAAGGTTTGAGGGATGAGTTGAAAGGAGTGGGAAGAGAGCTTGTATTGTGCATAAAGGATTAAAACACATTGCATAAAAAGAAGTAGGGCTTCACCAGATAGAAAGATGACAGGACTGAATGAGTAGGCGTATTGGGAAGACAAGAAGAATTGATGAGTAGAAAAATCTTCCTCCCTGTTCCAGCACTGCAGGGTAAAGGACTGCAACCTGTATTTGCCTCATAAGACAAATGATGTCACAGCTTTAGAAAATCCCATTTGGTGTTGTAGATCGAATGGATCGATAGCCACTAGGAGCCACATGACTATCACATCAGTAAATGTGACCTCTGTGGATATTTGACAAATGTTGCTTTGACTGTCACTCTCAGCAGCAGTGCATGTTGTTGCCAACATCTCCATCTGTTGTCCTGCAGCACTTCCAGGGCTGGTGCTGCTGATGTTGTTCGTTGTTGGAGCAAGTGGAAAAGGTACAAAGCTCTAACGCTGATGCAAGACAAATCAGCAACTCTGGTGAAGGAATTAACCAACGTTTTTGAAGGAGCTGCTTTGGCTATACCTGTGAAGTCTATTCATGACAATTCTTGTGTTTTGCCTGCAGACTGGTAACTGCTAAACACCACCTTTAATGAATTATAGAATGGGGGGGAATACTATGGGCTTCACTAGGCAGGATCTTAAAGAGTTGAGGTAGAACTGAAGTAAATCAGATGAGAGAAGAGAGAGAAGGAAACCAAGGGTCACATGGGATCCTAGTCACTTGCAGGGATGCTGGAAGCGATGCCTTTGCCAGTTGTTCTAACGCAGGTGCTGTTTTGCGGAGGCCTTCGTGCCTTCCACCATTGGTGCCATCGTCTGTTTTTCCTAGAACCGAACATGAGAAAGCTTTCAATGGTGCTCCTCCAATACAAGAAATAATTATTCCAGGAACAGGGGTTGTGCTTGTATATGCAAGGAAATGCCC